TCGCGGTGCTCCTCTCCCCTCCCCACCCCAAAACCTCCAGCATTTGCTGGCCTCAAGAAGAGGGTATGCCTCACTCAGCAACACCTTCAGAGCACACAAGGCAGCTCCCTCATCTGCCTCTGAAGATCCAACTACTGTCAGAGATGGGATGCTGGACTACATACAGATGGGACTCGGTTCTCTGTCCTGATGTGGTGAATTCTATCTATATGGAAAAATGCCGTTCCCCACCCGATGCTGGAAGAAGCTAAGAGACCCTGCAGAGGGGAGGCCTATCTGCTTCCCGGGAGATAAGCCCACTGTGTTTAATCCTGCTTGGATATGGGAGAGGGAAAAGAGAAGAGACAGCGACTTGGCAGGAAAGGTACATGCCAACCCCAAATCTTAGCAGCTTGCTGTGCATGCAAAGTAAGTCAACTGTTTCCATGTTGGTGGCCTGATCCATGTTCTGGCAGAACACGACCGGCCATTTCTGAGGGCTGCTTGGCCAGAAAACCACTTGGAGACTCCACCTTAGCTCACAGGAGAGGTATGGGAGGGAAGGGAACTCACTCCAACACTTGGGAGGCAAGGATGGGAAGGGTTTGTAGACAGGGTTCCTCCAACATGCAACTTGCCTTTTCAGCTCAGACATCGCTGCTTAGTCCCAGAATGCCTTTCCCTCCAGTTCAAGCAAGTCAAACGCCATCCCAGACACACATGCTTCGATACTACAAAATACTCTTTTCTCTAAGGACCATCTAATACCACTACAGTTTGTGCAATCACTGCATTTTTTATTAATTTTTAAACTCTCTCTCTCTCTCCCTGTAGAAATTTTTTTTAAACTTTTCTTTTTTATGCAAAACTAATCATTTCACTTTTTCCACTCCATCATAAAATCTCCTCTAAAAACACGACAACAAGAGAACAAACATGGCACAGACACAGAGAATATTTCCCTGTTTTTTGTTTTTTTTTCCCTAGGGGTTATGGGGAAGGGAAGGGGATACTTTCAAATAAACTCCTCCCTCAATCCCACGCCCTTTTTAAAGAGCATAGATAGATCTTCCTTCCCATCTCCGTTAAGGAGTAAGGGCAAAAATCCAGAAGGAGGAGTGTAACCCACGTGAATACGAAGGTAGGTTAGTCAGCCTCAAGTGGCTTGTCCACCTGAGGGAACTTGAGGCTGCTGCTGTGTTCAAGTTAGCAGACTTCTAACTCAAAACAGCATGGAACCCTCATTTCAGATCCAGAGGTTCAGGGTTTGGTTCCCACCTGGTGACCCACCCAGGGAGAGATTTGTCACACAAGCAGTCGAGCTGTGTCTGCAAGCCGGATCATACTCCTTTCTTCCTCCACAAAGAGGATCTACTGCACGAGTTCCTCTGCTGCAACAAGTCCCCTCATCTCCTCACCACAGGAAGAAGGTCCTCACGGAGTATCCCTACAACGACCCACTGTTTTGCTCTTCACAGACAGTCCCCTTGCTTGTCACTCTGGAGAAAGGCAAAAACCCTTTGATTAAACAATTCCTGCCCCCAAATAACACCATACAAGAGACACTGGGGAAAAGAATTCTGCCAAGCAAACACACATCTTGGCCAAAACACATCAAGAGTTTCCTATTTAAGTTCCCTTTTATCTCCCACTTAAACGCTTCAATTTATTTTTTTTCCAGAACCTCAATACCACGAAACAAAACACATCACCACATACACACCAAACAGTAACTTAACAACCTAAAGTGACTGGCCAGTTTGCATCCACCCCACAAATAAGCTCCTCTTATCTCGCAGCCACAGAATAGTTCTTGTTGAGAAGGGGGGTCTTTTGAGGAGGGGGGGGGGGGGGAAGAGAAGAATCTCCTCGCTGTTTCCCTAAGAAACAGCTTTTCCCTATGCCTACAAACTGCTCATCTTTGAAGCTGCAGTCAAATGGATAGGCTATGCTAAAATAAGGGATCCCCAGGTGTGCCAGACAAAGGAAAGATGCAAAAAAAAAAAAGACACGAAAAATACAGGCAGGTATTACTACTGACACACACACAAGTCCAACAAGTTATAGGAAGCCTTAGCTTGGTGAATGGATCGGGGCAGTCTCTTTCTCCCTGCCCCTAGTTTCAGCTGTGAATGCAACCGCATCCCCAAAGAGTCCACTAAGCTCTTTAACCAAGGAAAGAAAAAGAAAGAGGTGTGCAAAGGGTGGTGCTAACAGCACCTGGAATCCCCCTCGGACTGTCTGCACAGACACCGAGCCACAACTGGTGTGAATTCACTGTGCCCCATGGCTTTCAATTCCACCTGCTGCAAGGCAAAGCTTGTGGGGAGGGCAGCAAGGATTTTATTACACCAACCCAGGCACTGGAGGCAGGGAGAAGACAAGCTCTGGGCACAGAAGCCCTAATTAAGGTCAGAAGCTGGTCTATCCCTCTACCGGCCCAACAACGCCCCTTGGGCAGACAAATATTGCCTCTCTCCCAGAAACTGCCTTCTTTCTACCCTCAGACCACTGCAACCACAAAATCACTACTCCACGCAAGAGCACTCCTCGGAGCCGGCAGCTCCGGAGAATCCTCGGTGTGGAAGCACCAGAGGGGCGAATTCCATTTGTGTTCACCCGCCCAGGGCAGGTTTGTAAGTAGGTAAGCCCCGGTGCGGGGAATTTTTTCCACCCTTTTCACCTCTGCAGCATGTTATGTAGAAGTGACACCCCTCTGCCCCATCCCAAATACAGGGGACAGCGCTGAGAGGGTGAGGCTCTCCCATTGATCAGCACCTCTTTTCCTTGCCTCTACAGGCTGAGCCCTGTGTGAGTAGGGGAGAAGGGAGAGCAAAGGAACAGCATCTCACCATGAAGCTTGGGACCCATACAGAAATGGAGCAAGCCAGAAACGGCAGGGGAAAGAGAGAGCTTATTTTGGATGTGGACAAGGGGGGGCAGGGGAAGAGGGAGGCGTGGGTAA